CCACCCATACCCACACCCATATCAACACCCACATCCACGCCCTCATAATCGTTTGGTTTTTTAACCATAGTACATTTAGAAGATAATGTATCCGCCATTTAATTTAGATAAATTCGAGAGCGCTATAAAATAGTGAATGAGCATGTTAGGAATTATAATTATTGGAGAAATAAACCTTAGTGTATGAGACAGTATTTTTTTTTTATTGAAAAATGTTCTTTTTAAACAAATGAGAACTGTGAGGAAAAACCATTTATGGAAAGGATTACGCCATAGAATGTCTTTATTCCTAGCATTCACTAAAAACAAAGAGTCATGATTATCTTAGAAAATCGTAAGTTAGTTTTCATTGTCACTGTTTTTAAGCAAATGGACGGAACATTCATGAAGTGGCGTTCTTGAAGCTGAATAGTGAGAGGAAAAATGCAGAGCTTGAGTTAGTACTAAATGGTGGTGGTTCACGTAAAGTCGGTTCAATTTCTATTGGAGGTATTGGTTCTGTTGTCGAGGGAAAATATTGATTGAGAAACGATTCGATATGTCTCAGAGTTTTCGAACTGGATATCGGATTATGGTCATCGTCTGGTAACAATACAAGTTTTTTTGTTGTTCCTATGATTTATTGAATCGAATAAGATTTGAGAATGTTGTGATGGAATTAAGGTATCAAGTTGTCCATGAATCAAAAGCGTTGGACATTTAATATGTTTCATTGTTTCATGATTATCCCAGAATGAGCTATACACTAAATTCGATAACATACCAATTTTCTCATTAACTAAATTGTTGATTGATGTATATGGGGATTGAAGAATGAGACCACCAACTGGCTGTGTCGCCGCAATATGACATGCAGCACCACTTCCTATCGAATGTCCATAGATAATTATTCTATCAGTTGGCCATTTTAGTTTATCACGAACGAACAAATAAGCATGCTGAGCATGATTATTAATTGATGTTTCGCTGGGTAATGATGTTAATCCTTTCAATAAGCCATAAGAGGGATATTCGAAGATGAGTGCATGGGCCTGAAGTCGTCGACTCAATGCTGCCAATGTCATATACATGCTACCAATGTCACAAGCATTTCCATGACACCATATAATGAACAGTTTAGCTTCTCGTGGTGGTGAATAGAGTAAACATGGTATTGGAGTTGAACTTGAATCAGATGGAAGCCAGAAAAGATGTTCCTCATGCGATGTCAGTGTATATTGAGGTGGATTCGGTGCTGGAAAAAGAATTCTTCCTAGTAACGCGTTTCCAATGAATGTCATAAGTGGAACAAATAAAATCTGTAAAGTAGAATAGAACAATATCGACATCAAATTTTTGTTTTTTCTTAGTGTATGAGTTCTGAAGATGACAAGATTTTCATCCGTATTTGCATTGAATAAAATTTTATTCCACTTACTGTTGCGAATAATATTTTTACAGTGATCTTTGCATAATATTAAAATTTACAATAGTCAAATAATACGTTTCAATTATCTGAGAATAATATTGAAAGCATATTCCCTAGACTGTAAGGCTAGGGTCTAGAAACCGAAATTCATCTGTGTCTGTCTGTCGGTAACGCGGTCAAAATGGCCATTTTTTTGGCACATGTGACCATTTTTTGGCACAAAAGACCATTTTTATGGCACAAGCGATCATTTTTTTGGCACAAACGACCATTTTTTTACTAAAATTAACTAGATAACTATGGTACAAATGAGCATGTAACTATGGCACAAACAGTCATTTTTTTGGTACAAACGACCACGTAACTATGGCACAGGTGACTATATAGGAACCATGCTACAAACAACTATTCTGGTAACTATGGTACAAATGACCATCTAAAGACTGATGTAAATGAACCCATAATAATCATGGGTAAAATGTCAATGGAATAACTATAATTCGGGTAGTGGTGTAAAACGGCTTACAAAAGCATTTAATTAGTGATAGTCAGAGCAAATGAGCAGTACGGATTTAAAGAAATCGTTTAAATTATCCATTATTGTAGGATTGATGGTGCAATGTTGTATCAATGAATATCTAATTTATTAATAGTTTAGAATTAATGCGCGAATTGAAGCATAAAATATTGATTAATAAAACTCAAATTTTATGAATAATATAATTCATATTTTTGTACGTACAAATAGCGCCAATATAATTACAAAAAAAATCGTATTCTTGTCTAATCTTATTGGGCGCTATTTATATTTATAAAAGCAAAAAAAAATAAAACAAAAACGACAAAAAAAATTAAATTTGTAAAATGCATTATCTTTACTTAGAGTGAGAATTCTCCGAATTAAGTTTTCTGCTCGCCGAAGATATACTGGTTATATTATCAATTTTGCGTATTACTTTTTTAATGTAGCTTTTTATGCTATTACATCCGTACATGTATTCTATCAGTCTAGGGCTAAGTGAATCGCTTGACGATGAACGTTACTTGTCTAGTCTTCAAAGTTTTAAACTGAAAATCTTAAAAGGTTATGGTTAACACTATGCTTGAGCTTCTAAAACTCTGAGCATATCTTTACGAATCTTCAAAATCACATTGGATTTTAATGAAATCATTTTAATTAAAAATTATGAAAAGAAATGGAATAAAATAGAAGGTTCACTCACATCCGCATCCTTAGGGTTACAATTTCATATTTAATAATGTAACGTTGAGCTTTTATTTATCTCATTTTGAACTATTAACATTTCTTTCGGTAACTGTCTTTGCATATACTTTGGGAATGAACTTTTTTAATATAGTATATAATATAAATAAAATTCATTTTTTTCTTCGTACATATTCTTTTTTAGTTTCTTTAAGTAGCAAACTATCGTATTATTTCTACTGTTCATATCTTTATCATTTATTTTCATCAAACTTCGTTGGATTTTCTAGTTATTATGCATTAGAAATATTGATCATAACAGAATCGGGAATTTTCATACATATTGATTATATCATGATTTGTTAAAATCAAGTCAATTTTTATTTCGTATGCAAGTGATAATCTAATAAATTAAACTGAAGAAAAATTAAGCAAAATAAATCGAACTTTATTAATTTTTCATATGGGTGAAATATTTCTTAAAGGATATCATAAACAATTACGATATTGCTCACAATGCTATTGATTAACTAGTATTTATTATGAAACATCAAAAAATATAAACATCATAAGAAATGAAATAATACTTAAAAAGAACTTGTTTTGGTAGACGAATATATTTTGTAAGATTATTTTATTGTTCATATTTTGAAAAAACAATCATTAAAATTTTCTAAAAGAAAAATGATTATTTTTGTAGAAGAAAGATAGTAGAGAAAAACAAAAATTGTTACTAAATAAATATTCATATTACACTTAAGTGTATATTCTCATAGCATTAGAGAGTTAATTATTTCGGATAAGGTTTTTCGAATACAATTATTGAGTAATAATAATCTTCAAAAATTATTTCTTGATTATTTATTGATATGCAAAAAGGAAATTTTTAATAAGTAGAAGTTTTTCAAACTAGAATGGAAAAGGAAGATTCAGAAACCAATCTGAGAATCTACGAAAAAAAGTTCGGGAGTACATATATATTTCGTTAACATTTTGTGTAACTCGAAATTGAGGTCAGCATTGAAACTAGTATGCATTATTATTAAACGAGTTCAAAGTACATCTGTCATTCGATCTCTTAAACAAACTTTGTAATAATGTAAGTTAGGTGTATAATGCGTCGAAGCAAGCCTTGGATTGCTGAAGACATTGTCAAAGATGAGACGTTCGAGGACAGAAAGTTCAAATTACATCTGTTTAATGTCAACATTAGAAATTCCATGCGATAGATTCACATGATCAGATCTCATGATCATTAGCCAAGTTTGTTGTTGTATCGAGTCTAGATCATGGTGCATTGTAATATTTGTGATGATGATCCAGTCGAGTTGCCTCATGACTAATTTCTCAATGAAAAATTTTAAATTAGTCAAATTCATCGAACTAAATGCAATAGTTTGAAGATTTGCAAAGTTTAAATGTGAATTATCATTTGAAATTTATGTTGATCGTTCCCAAATATTCTCAATGATCGATAAGAAAATGACCTATATAGGAGAGTATTTTTATCTATTCTATGCAATAGATCAATCTTCGATAGGTAAACTTCGATAGTATTATTAAGTCGTTGTTTTAATCTGAAGAAAGATTTAATTAGACCATTGAATGATAAGTAATGGAATATTTCAAAAAACAAATCATCAATAAGGTTATCAAAACAGTTAGATATTACCATATATTATCAATTAGACAACTTGTTTATAGAAGATTTAAACATTTGACGAAAATAAAATGAATATATTCGAATATATGTGAAGATGTATTATTACTCAATCAGAGATGAGCACAGGACCAGATTTTCCGTCCTGCCCTGTTCACCGCACGCTATGATCTTATCCTGCCGCTCAGCAGGTCAGGACAAAATTTTTTGTTTCCTCCTGCCCTGACCACCGCGCGCTATAATCTTAACCTGCCGCTCAGCAGGGCAGGGCAAAATTTTTAGTTTCTTCCTGCCCTGGTCTCCGCACACAATCCTATCCTGCCGCTCCACAGGACAGGACACATGTGCTAAAAACAATGCATGTTTAATCTTTTGTTAAATAAGGCATGTATTGCATCTCTTTCAAATTATATAACGAAGATCTTTACACACCCATTGCGCACGCAACTTCTTTATTTGATCAACATCCTTCTCATTTAATTTCAATGCTTTTTTAAATCCATATTGTGGAAGAGTAGACTGTGCTGAAGATGAATTACCGGATTGATCATTTAATATAGAAGATAATGATGTGTTGGATTCTTCGATATTTGTAGATGATGATGAAGTATTGGATTCATCAATCGTTATAATAGATGATAAAGGCATGGATCTAATACATTTATTTTACCCGGGTAAAGTTAGCGCCAGATTCGAATTTTTACCGTCCGGATTCGCTACTGTACTTGAGTTATATTTGATTAAACTTGAGCTTGATGCAGAATTTTACGGCGAATCTGACGGTGTAAAGATCAAGGGGGGGGGGGGTCGCCGAGCAAAAACTGGTACTTGATCTTTAAATACGGTATTTTTTCAAAATTTTTAAAAAGTATTTGGTGTCCGGATTCACTATGTTACTTCAGTTGGGTGTTAAAATGGTTGTGTTAGATTCAGCATGAAATTCTGCATCGAATGATATCAATATCATATGGGGTCATCGGGCAAAAAAAATTTTTCGTCGTACCCAGCCGTATCCTCATGCAAACTCCTCACCATCACCCACATGAAAAATTTTTTGCCCGATATATCTCATACGATATTGATATCATTCGATGCAGAATTTCATGGTGAATCTAACTCAACCATATTAAGACCCAACTCAAGTAACATAGCGAATTCGGACACAAAATACTTTTTAAAAATTTTGAAAAAATACCCTATTTTGGGGTCAAGTACCAGTTTTTGCTCGATGACTCCCTCCTTGATCTTTACACCATCAGATTCGCCGTAAAATTCTGCACCTAACTCAAGTTTAATCAAATATAACTCAAATATAGGAGCGAATTCGGACGGTAAGAACTCGAATCTGGCACTAAGTTTACCTACATATTTATTTTGATGTTCTCTTAAACGCGTTGTTCCACTTTTAGAAGAATAAACAAATGTCTGATAACATTCGAAACCACTGACATTGCCCATAATCCGCTTATATTGTTTATTTTCATCTAATTTAGCAGGAAAATCGAAAGTGCTTCACCAGGATAATGGTCCTGCTGCTAGTGCTGGTTGATTTTTGATAACTGTATAGTTCTTCATATCTGTCTGTAAAAGAACTTTGAGTTTTTCTGAAGTGAAAGAAACTTCTTCAGAAGAAAATACTTCAATAAAGTCCATGTGTTGTTTTATTAACAGAGTACAAAAAAAAAGTTCAAGATGAAGCAAAACTAAAGACGAGATGTCGATATTATGATAAGAGAACAAAGAACAATAGATATGCATTGTTTACATTTGTTATGTATAGATTCTTTCTTTCTCCGAATTTAATTATCTTATCGACCAATACGGGAATAATCACATTTCTACATATAAAGAATAATGACATCTATCAGTGATAACAAATATCTAATGTTATTAATGATGATAAATATCACAAATGGCTACAGGACAACAACTTCCATCCAGTCCTGTGCTGTCCTGTGTCAACCTCAACCTGCCGCACACCAGGACAGGGCAGAAATTTTAGTTCTGTCCTGCCCTGGTCACCGCACGGTGCAAACCTATCCTGCCGCTCTGCAGGACAGGACAAAAATTTAAATAGCGTCCTGTCCTGCCGGACAGGACAGGATACAGGACGACCGCACCGCCCCGTCCTGTGCTCATCTCTGTACTCAATTCATCCTTCTCTTTTCTTACATCTTTTGGTACGCTCACACATAACTAACGCAATGCCACATTAAAAAAGAAACATGAAAAGTAATTGAGGAGAAAAAAATCAAGACTAAAAGATTGTTGAGTTCTTTGGAATAAATTTTATTTTCTTCAAGTATAATAAATATTATAATAAAAAAAAAATGAAATGTTTCTGTTTTTCTTTCTTCTGATCATTTAGTTCTAATTATTAAGTCGAATTTCAATTTGTTTAACAGTAATTGGATTCATATATTTTTTATGTTCATTAAAGAAAGTTTGTACTCTTGGCATCATTTCTGGCCATGACGATTTAAATTCTGTATATAATGGTTTAACAAATTTCATTCGTCCATTTATTTCAAGAAATTTAAATATATCATTTAAAGGTTTTTCATATTTAACATGTATACATAATTGATACCAACGAAAACAAATTTCACAATTTGAATATTTTGACATATCACAATTAATATCCAATTGTTTTATATAATCATAAGTTATCATTGATTGTTGATTAAGAAGAAGATTTAATAAATAAGCAACTTGTTTTGCATTTAACATATTCATTTGTTCTTTTGTAATAGATGATTGTTGAGTAGATAATTGACGACATTGTTCTTCAAGTTTTGTTGAAAAATCATGTGTTATTGGTGGCATACCAGGAGTATAAAGCCATGATTGCCAATCAACAGATGGTGCTTGAGGAAAATAAGATTGAAAATATTGAATAAAATCATCAGTATTTAAAATTTTTCGTCCAAATTTAATTATATATGAACGAAGAAATACATCAAAATTAGATTCAGAACCAACAATATTTTGTTCGAGATGCCAAAGAAGAGCTGCACCTTTATAATATTGTACTAAAGAAAATAGAAAAAGAAAAAATTTTTATTTTCAAAAAATAAAGAGAAAATCTACCTGAACTATATGCATCATCAGGATCAACATTATTCAATCGATAAACAAGACAAGTATATGGATGTGTTGGTCCCCATGTATCAATAGCAGTTTTTAAATCTTGCCATTGTTGAGCAGCATGAAATCTTCTTACTTCTTTTCCATTTGTTTTATCTAAATTTCCAAGTATTTTTGCTTCAATAAATGATGTAAATCCTTCATTTAACCAAAAATGTTCCCAATTTTCATTTGTTACTAAATTTCCTATCAAAAAAAAAAAAACGAAACTTTTTTGATACAGAAAAACAAATTAAATAGATGATTAACCTGTCCAAGAATGTGTCATTTCATGAACAATTGTACTTATTAATGAACGATCACCAGCAAGTAATGTTGGAGTAAGAAAATTCATACATGGATTTTCCATACCTCCATCTAAATATATTAAATATTTTTATTTTAATTATAAAGTATTTCAGAAACTTGTTCGAGAAAATCAGATTTTCTATGAAGTCGTACAATATTGTCTTTTATATTGTAAATCTTGTTTAGATGTTCATGTAATTGTTAATCTCTATTTTTGAGAAAAAGTCATTACATTGTACCCATTACATCAAAGAAAGTTCTAAGAACATTAACGATTTAGATTGCAATAATCCTATGTAAATGTATATGAAGCTAGTTCCGATAGGAAAACAACGAAACTTAGAAGTTGTATTCTGCATTGAAAATTTTGTTGGTTTTGTCAGTGATTTTCAATTATTTCTGGCTGGAAATGACAAGAAGTCAATAGGGAAAATACTACTTTCAAGTTCGATTGGACACTATGGTTTTCTCGCATCTTTCAGATCAGTTGAAACAAAAATTTACTTGTTTTCAGACATCTAAATCATCAGTTTAGAATATAACTCTTCTTCCTGTATAATTTACAGCTGACAAACAAAAATAAATTATCGATATTACTTACAAGGAAAAGATGGTGGTAAAACAAGAAAATCATATCTTTTCCATTGATATTCTCCCAGAAGTTGTTCAGCAGCAGTTAAAAAATTTTCTGCATCTTCAAATTCATATCGACATTGGCTAATCATACTTGGTTCAGTCCAAACACGAATACGAGAACTTAAATCATGTGAAACTAAATGTCCAACAGCAATAGCAAGTAAATAAGATGGTATAGCTTGTTTTTGTTCAAAATAAAATGTATTTGTATTTTCATCATGTTTTGTTTGTAAACCACTCATTAACTAAAAAAAAAAGTAAACTATTAAAATATTTAAAGTAAATTTCTATTTTTTGTACTTACAACAGTCAATGGTTTTGGACATGTTATTGTTGCTGTAAATGTACTTTTAACACCAGGTGTATCTTGACATGGATATAATGAACGTGCATGTATAGCTTGACATTGACTAAACATATATGGATATTTTCTATCAGCTGTTTGTTCTTTTGTAAGCCATTGTAATGCTGTACATTTTGTATTTGATGTTGAATAATAAATAATAATAGATAGAATTATATCTGTTGATATATCATTCATTTCAATAATTAATGATTCACGTTCTGTATCAACTTGAAATGAAAGTAATTTTTCTGTATCATTTGATTTTAAAAGAACTTTTTTTATATTTAAATGACGAGAATCAAGAACAAATTGATTTCCATGATTATTTGGAATTTCTTTATTTTCAGTTATTATTGTTGATGAACGATCACATAATTCATTATTTAATGGTTTAACATCAAGTTGAACATAACCATCAAGAATATTTGAATCAAAATCAATATTTAAATTAAAATGAGTATGAACAATACGATATCCATTAAAACTTGATAGAGAATTTGGATCATAAAAAAGTCGAATCGATTGATTCTGAAATATAATTTATTTAAGTACATAAAAAAACAAAAGAATATCATTAAGTAACGTCATAAATCTGTCGAATCCTAGATTTTATTTTCAATATGATAGTAAAAATAGACTATGAAATTCGGCACATTTCGATCTATTTATTTTAGTTTTTTGTTCAATGTAAAAAATATTTTTCCAAAGACTAAGTTATCTTGAGGTTTTATCACTTATGAGATCTAATTTCAAGTTCAAAGCAAAATAAATGTCTTATAAGGTATCAGCTCAAAACAATATATAATATCATAGAAATTTTAGCAAAAATATTTTTTTACTATTAAAATTGATGTAGCCCTCTCAGCAGTTTTTGTTCCTCATATCATGCCCGTAGTTCTGCCTGGATTCATTTCCGGTAAAAATTTATGTTTGTTGAAATGTGTATAATATTACTTTTTTAGTGCTAATTCTGCATATAATAATTAATTTACAGTGAATTTGAAATTAGGTTACTGTGAAGTCTCTATAGATTGTTAGATAATACAATTTTTGATGATAAAGATTTAAAGCTCTAATTTCGATTTTCAAATATAAGAGTACCCTACAAAAGTATCTATCTGATATTGAGAACTGTATGATTGTATCCATTTGGTTATGCATAATCTAAGACAGAAGTTAATAGGCAATATACCATTTTGTAGAGCATGAAAAATTGTTTCGATCTACTCTATTACTTTTCATATTAGGTTTATAAAAGAAAAAATTCTAGGTACCATAGTTATTAATCGCAACATTCAAAAATGATAAATCCTCAAGACTAATTAGTCCTCAAAAATAAAATTTCGTTTACAATAGACAAAAAATAAAAGAAGTAAATACAAATGTGTAGAATTTCATGATCTATTTTTCTATCTTATTGAAAAATGAAATCGAGGATTTGACAGATTTACGATCATCTTCAATGTTATCTTTTACCTCATTTTTTAATTGATCATTCGATGATTTATTAGTCGCCATCTGAAAAATATTTAAACTATTTCAATTCATGGTTAAATTAAAAAAAACTTCAATATTCAATTAAAAAATAAAATATGAATCGATAAAAAAAATTGAAAATTTGATAATAATATATTAAATATTTCAATCAACTATTCATTTGATTTGTTGTTTTCTCGAAAAATTTATTTTGTATAAGTAAAAATACGAATTCAAGCCAACTTGAATATTTATTACTAACAAAAAAAAAATTCTAACAGCTTTCTATCATATTTAGATAAAATAAAGAGACCTGGACAAGTTAAAAGAGAATCTCTTATTCGATTACTAAGGGCACGATTTCTTTTTCTTACTTGATCATTGAAACAATACAAAAATGTGACAAAGGCTTTTATCATATCAAAGTATTTTATCGAGTGTGTGTTTGCTCTTTACCGACGCCCACAGTCACCTTTGCGTAAATAAAATGCTGAATGTGATCAGTACATGGTGACAATGCAAAACTTTCTATTATGTCCTATTCTCGAATATCAATAATGATAATTTTGTTCTTATATTTGTATCTTAAGATAAGAGATAAAGTGTGATACTTTCATAATGAACTAGTCACATTCAGAACTTTATTTGTGCAAAGTTGAAACTTGAAAAGGCTTACGCCAATGAGTCGATCGCAATTCTGAAAAATAAAATCGACAAGAAAACGATTCTTAACATTGTAGAGAAATAACTCAGAGAAGTTCAAAATATAACTAAGAATTTATCCAAAGACAAGAAACATTGTATATGAGTATACATACGAATGTTTAGGAAACTTTTCCTTTCAAAATTTCCCATAATCTATAAAAGTTTTCCTTCTTCTCGAGCTGCTGTATAAACGTACAATTACAGTTTATAAATGAGATCATCTAAGAACACATTACATGGGATAAATCTTCATTTTTTATATGTCACTCTCGTCCTCGGATGATGTTGTGTCTTATTGAATCATATGCTTGGAAATTGAGCTTTGTAGAAAATAAATTAGGAATCACTCTTCTGTTTAATATGTAATAAATTGTCGTTTTCTCAATTCGAAAGTCGACTTTGAAGATGATCTAAGAAACAGGACAATATTTTGTTGAAAACTCATTAAAATGATTATCAATGAAAGATGAAAGACTCATGAACATGAATCTTGTTCTATTCAATAAGATAAAATTTATCTCAAAAGTGATTTATCACTTGGTAAAATTGTCACGTCAACTGACTTGAAATTATATCAAGAGATGATTTCAACTTCTAATACATCCTTGATTTTCTGGATATCCTACAATTAGGATTTCCTAAACTAAAATAACAATAAGAAAAAAAATATCCTATACGTTTTATTTTACTGTTGTTGAAATTCTTGAAAAAATTCTTTTCCAATCATATTGTTCATATGAACTATTTGGACTATTTAATAATCCAAGTTTTTCACATGCATCACAAATAGCCATAAATGTAATTAAATCAGGTTTGAAATTCAATGGTCCAATTGTATTTAAATCTATTTGTTTCATTTGTTCAAATAATTCTAATACTTTTAATGGCATATTATTAACAAGATATGCTTTCATTAATGAATTATATGTACTTGTTTCACGTAAATTCATTTCATAAAAAATTTTTTCCGCAATATTTATTTGATTAATTTTACCATAAAAATCAATTAATGCATTTTGTAAATGAACATGTTGAATATTTAATGATGATAATAATTCATTATGTATTGTTTTACCACGTTTTTCATCACGTAAAATTGTACAAGCTATTAATAAAATAAGTTAGGAAAAAATAATTTTATTAAAATAAATTTTTACCATTAAGTAAAAGAATATAAGTAACATTATCAGGTGAAATTTTTGAACGCATTTTATCAACATATGAAAAACAATATTCAGCTTTATGATTTTGAAGATAACCTTTCTAAAAAAAAAGAAAAATATTTATTTATGTAATCTATTTGAATAATATTTACAAGCATAGCATTATAAACAACAACATCACATTCAGGTAATTGAGAAATTTTTTGAAAAATTCGTTCAGCTAGAATAAATCAAATTTTTTTTTTTTGTTTTCGAATGATTAGTTTCTAATATTTTACCTTGATCAATCATTTGACATTTCATATACATTTTAATTAATGATGTTTGAAGACGTATATCATCTTTCCATTTACTTGATTGATTAATAAATGTTTCAATTTGACGACCACGTTCAATATGATTTGATCGAGTACATGTATCAATAATAGTTAATAATGATATAGTAGTAACATTATTTTGTTTAATAAGTATATCAAATAATTGAAATGCACGTTCATATTCACCACGATTATTAAATAGTTTTATTAGTTGACTATTTGATTCTGAAGTATATGATGGTAGTTTGAATTTATTAGTTGTTTTAGTAGAATAGTTAAGTATAGAAGAAGAAAGGGTAATAAGACGTTGAATGATGGGGCGATTGTTTGCAGAGATTATCATTTTCATTTCTTTTCAATGAGTAGTAAAAATTATGTGAATTGTTAAATCAATAGAATATGAATGGTCAATATAGATTACCATTTAGGTTGTACAGTTTAAAGAGGGCAGTGTATAATCAATTTATCTCTATTGAAATGTATTACATTAGTTTTTCGTGTAGTATTTTATTTAGGTATCAAATTCCTTTATTTTTCTTTTGTAAAATGATTACTATCAAAATAGAAGAAATATTATCGATGTTTTAATTTTGATATTCATCGTTAAACATCAATTGATACGAAAAATGTCATATATGGTTTTCTTTTTTAAATTTTATATTATATATCAGTCTATTGCTTTATTTTCGAACTGTTATCATCTTATCATCAGACGTATGACTTGATTTTGAAGTATTTTGGGTTAAAGTTCTTTTTTCTTATTTATGATTCGTTAAGATAAAGTAACATGTTCTTCTGTTTATATCTCGGTGAAAATGTTATAACAAAAAAAAACCAAGTAAAGTCAATAATATATAGTTATCAACAAACTAAATCATTTACAATAATCTGAAGAAATAAAAAGCTCTTTTACGTATGGACATGAGTAGTAAAATACATTTGGAGTGCCATTTCACTTAGAACTTGGGCCAATCAATAGAGGTTAAGATTGTGAGTCTACTAGATTCTACTTATGAGCTACTCTAAACCAAAATCTCGAACAAATAAATGTTTGAAAAACTGCCATTAGATCCAGTTGTGGTTAATGCTTGATGGCTCTAGTCAGATCAAAAAATATAACAAAGCTACATTTAACTTCATTTTCTAAACATTTATTGTGTTGCTATTTTGCCTCATAGTGGCCTCGGAATTTCAAGCGAAACAGTACTCAGACTGGATCAAAGCGTATTTCACAAAAATCACTTATGTATGAGCTAAAAACTTTCAATAGTTTTTACTTTAAACGCGTTAGTAGCAACTTTATGTTGTATATTTTTGCGATGCATCATATAAATACTAAATATCTTACACTTCATCATACAGTGTTTGACTTTCTATGTAGAAGGTCATATGTTCACCTTATCGATGTAAGAAAAAGAATGATGTTGCTTTTGATTTTTCATTCAAATTCACGATAATTTAAGATGTTCCTATAAATTGACAAAATGTAACTATGATGATTTGGAAGGAAGTGAAAGTTGATTGTATAAGTTATCTGAATGATAAAGAACGATTCTGAAAACTGATACTGGCTATCGAAAGTTTTCAAAGATCTAATGCCTATTTTTACACCTCTAGATTTTGGATCTACCTAATATTATATAAGCAGTGTGATTGATTTATTTCTGTTATTAGTTCCAATAAGTTTGTTATATATTCTACTAAGTAACACACGTTTTAGTTGCTCGTACTTTTTTTTTAGAATTTAAAGAATTCACAAAGAGTTCATTGTTCTCAAACAGACTTGAGAAAGACCTTAGAACTAAAGACAACGATTGATTTGATTCGTAAATTATAACATGTCTTTGATAAACAATTATTCCTTCATTATTAAATCTACAACATTTTTATCATATCTTCAATGTGTTACAGTGACTGGTCGATTGATTTGAGGTTATATTATTATTGTTTTTAAAGAAATCATTGATGAAATAATCATCTTAAGAGCAACGAGTTGAAATTCGTCAATCTTTTTTCGATCGAATACTACTAAAATATATCATAAGAATTATTTTTAGTATAAATTATGATTAACATCGTTGGTTTTTTCCATAATAGGTAATAATTATCATTTGTTTTACTATAACAATAGCAACAGATTCGAGATAAGAAGATTTTGATATTCTTTTTTTCTCAATGTTTGTGCACATTGTGGTAGAAATAAGATTAAAAAAACATGTGCTGCTGCAATTGTCCATGTTTTTACAAAGCTGGAATCGTACTCTTAGCATTATTATCTCTTTTCGAAACAATATGTGGAGAAGTTCGAGTTTGCATTTTTATCTCTCCTATTGTTACAAAAGATGGACCGTCAAATTCTATCAACATAATAGACATTACTGATCCCATGACTATTGCAGTTATTCTGAATTTGGCCAGTTCAATAACGGCTACTCTCATGGGTATATTTGTGTTGCTTTTTCTCGCTTTAATGCAATGTTTTTGCTGTTTGGCCTGTGTTTATGCATTTTGTCGTACGGGTTCACGAAAGAATGCAAAAGGTTGTTGTAAAAGTTTTAGTACTTTCAAAGCTCTTCATCGATTTATTACACTTGATTGTAATTGCCCATGCTATAGAGCACGACCTAAAATACGATTTCGCCTACGCTTTGATTTTCTCTTTATATGTTTAATATTACGTGGTGCTGCCATTTATTTGTATAAATCAGTATCACGTGAGAATCTATCACTTTATAACATTTTTAACTTCCTTTATTTATGGGTTAAGTTATGTTTCAGAATATTAGCTTTTTTGAAGAGATAATTATCTTGAGTAAGTTTAAATTTGATGTCTCTCTTCGTTCTAAATAACTTTCACGATTAGGAGATATGGTTTCAGTAAGATATGAACATGAATGTTTGAAGAACAAAGGCACATACTAAAATAAAATGTATCACTGTCGGAATCTGTCGTATTCTAAATGTGTCGTAGTCTATTTGTCAGCCATTCTCAGTCATCGTTTTGTTTAGAACGTGCAGCTACGTATCACTCATTCGGTTGAACATGATGAACTTAGGCAGTTTTGCATATTTGTTTATTCTAGATTATTTTTCGATTGGTCTTTGCTCGAGAACAATACATTGAGAAATTGATCGATCTTCAAGAATGTCTTGCTTTGAAGCGGTCTGTTAGAGATCAAACCAACTTGGGTTGGTTAGATCTTAGGATCGAATCATCTTGAACTCCAAGAATAAATATTATTAGCTCGTATTGAACTAAGACAACAGTAATTATTTGACTATGCAGCAAATGATGGATGTGCTGAAATGTAGATTTAAATTTGATTTTCGAAATATATCGTAATGAGTACCACGTCTCGCAAAGTACGACAAATTTTATATCAGTATATATTTCGTCAATACTAAATTGATCCTATACTAACATCTAACCTCTTATATTATAGAATAATTATTCATAAAGTATGATACTAAATACTTTATATCTTTTCTTTGTAAACACAATATTGATAGAGCAGGATCAGAAGTATTAGGTTTCAATAAAAACCCAAAATATCAGTTTAATTAACACACAATTCGAAAGTTAGTTTTTGACTTAGTTTTTCTTTTTTTTGTAGAAATGGATTCACGAGGTCCCTTAAATTTTTATTTCTGTCTAGTCTCATTAGTCTTTTTAATCGGTACATTTCTTCTCGATCTGTATCATTATTCAGTATAGTGGCATTATACTTCTCATGGTGATAGTCGATGTCATTGTCGATCACGAAAGCATAAACGCTATTTACCTTATCATATAGTGGGAGATACTCAATGAAAAGATACATTAGGTGATCGTCCGTGTACAACTGATCCTTGTCGAAATCGGCATTTAAGCCATGTTGTTGTTTTTCATGGTAATAATTATAAACCACAAGCTCGTTGGTCTGCATTAAAGACTGATGATCCCCGAAGCCACATATATTGGTTTTCATACTATCACAGTAGATTATGCAGACTCTATTGTTCACAGCGAATTTAGAGCAAGTGACAAAGGCATGCTCGGCAAATGTGTATATTTTGCTCGATCTATCGCAGATACGATTGGTAAAGCACAATGTGAGGGTGGTGCTTGTATAATTGCCAAGATTCGAATGGGTAAAGTATTTGAATTTGATAAACAAACGATCTACTCAACTGGAAAAAGTACACAACGTGATCAGCAATTGTATCATTTTGTAAGATTCTCTGAATGGCACAAAGATTATGATACATGGTACATGAATCATGAAAATGCAAATAAAGACGAGTTTTGTATTAAAGATCCGAAGAAACAAATTATCGAATGGGTGGTGATGGTGGTTGATAAAGAAAAAGATCCAAAAGTTGAACAATATGGACTTGACATTGAATTTGACTCAACAGAATGCTATTGCATTTAAATACATAAAACTGTTTAATTAATTCTTGCCTTGTATTTATTAATTTTTTAGAAAAAAAAACTAAAAACTCTCATCGTCAGAAATGCATGTTATGATAAGTGTCAATTTCTACATAATAATAAATAAAAAGAAGGAATATGCAGCTCGGAATAATTAAACTAGAAAAGTGCTTTTATTTAAAAATATTTTTGTTTTCAATCAATAAGAACTAATCATCAATCTAGTTTAATATAACTATTGTTGAGTTGCAATAAGGTTGAATATAAGAGCCATGGTAGTTTTTAATCTATAATTAAACAATATTATTTATTCAATTGGATTTCTCATTTATTTTAAAAGTAAAAAAAAAAAAATTACTTTTTGAATAAATTCATTGAGAAAAGTACTTTTAATCACGAGTGTTTTTTCAAGTACTGATTTTTTCATTATGCTTTCTTGAATATTTCTACACGATCCACACAATTGCTCATCCACATTCAGTACCTTACTTTCAGAAATCAAACCCATCAATGTATAATAAAAGCAATTAGTGTATGGAATGCGTTAATCTGTAGAGAGATTTCATATCCATTCAAACATTATGGTTCTTTTCTAGATCGCCAATACCTTATTGATTGTTTAGTCTAACTAGTAGAACAGATCACAGAGTGCGGTTGCGATGATGTCACCAATCTGAACAAACATCAAAAATATTGTTTTCTCGATATTATTGAACAATGTTCTACAAAACATTGTGTATATCCATTAGACTGTCTTAATATTTTACTATATCATATTAAAAACTCAGAAGCATATGATACGCCAAAATATTTTGATACGTATTTGACAGATGTTCATATGAAGACTCTTCGTATCGAATAGAACGATAATCATGTTAAATAATGTTTTATATTGATAAAGAATCCATGCAAACTCTGGGATGTTCTACTTTCAAAGAATAATGTTTTCTTTTTAAATTCATTTTAATCTTAGATTATGATAGGAATAAGGTTAATATCGTAAGTATCAATCATTTTTATATAAATTTTACAGCTTCTCAAAGGCCAAATATCTGTTAATATTTAAAGTATCAGTTGATGTGTTTCATATCAGAATCATCTCGATAGAGAGGCAGAAGACTTGCATATTAAGTAATCTGTCTTGGCAAATGAAAGCTAATGTTTTGCTTATCTTGCATCATACCATAGATTAGAAATGGTTATAGACACGAAAATAGAACATGTTCGAAATTGATCGAGATGCGAAATGACCTCAAAAAGCTTCACGATAGTTTTTCAAAAAAAAGCTGTTGCTATATTTATCAACAAGAATTTTAACAGATTCTTGTCATCTATATTTATTTCAGTTATTAAACATATGTCACAACGCAATAAGACAACTAGCATTTTCATTGAGTTTCTTAAACAAGTCGCCTGTCGTATGTAAAATAAAGATTTTTATTTTCAAAAAGAAAATAAGCAATAGCAAAATGTTCACTGATAGATGTGTTCATGAATAAAAAATTAGTTACATAAAAGATATAATATTTTGGATTAGAAGAAAATAATAGATGTTTTTATTTATTCCATTGCAACATCGAATTGGAACTCATATCCAGTCGAACGTAGCATTAGACTACTTGCTTTGAAATTGAAGGTATATACATAGATTGTTCTATAAGATTTTGTATAATGCTTTTGATGTTCCGTTGTACATTGTCAGTATTAGCAAGAAGCGCTTCAGTATGAGCATGAATTTGCCAACGAAGAGGTTTGTCAGAAAAGTTCTCTTCTTTGATTTTTAAATTCTCTGTTACCTGGTTTTGTGAATTGAGTTTTTCATGTTGGTCTGAACATATCAACACACATGCTATATTGGAACACTTTTCAAGTTTACCCAAAATGCTAAACTTATTTGAAGAACATACACAAACAGAATATTTTACTTCCGTCGATTGCTGTAATGAATTTAATAAATCATCGATCGATTTAAAAAATGTTAGACCATTATTATCATTTAATGATTCATGATTTCCATTAGAATCCAAAAATAGAATTGAATAAAATGTGGACTGAGCCATCAAGATGAGTATACAGTTGTAGAGTCTCAGAACTTCAGTAGGAAACTTATATTTATAGCTTGGCACTAAAAGGAAGGAACATAAAGCAAACAAATGTAATCTAAAGAAAAAACAAATTTCATAGAATTTCAGTTCTGTATGTATGTGTACACATAACCTATGACGACTGCCACGTAGTGGCACCATGATTCAAATGCATTTTTTGGAGAATATTTTAAAATAAATGGCTTCCTTAATGCACAGAATCAATATACTGATTGAAACCTTCTCACTTGCATGTATCATTAAAAAAACACCCAAAATGATTATTGAATTAGCGTTGATCATGAAAATTAATCCTTTTTATTTTTACATGCAACAGTTCTCTTTATGATGTGGAAATAATCAATAGGTTTTGCGTTATTCGATAAAACATGACATTTAAAAACCTTCATAATATTAAAAAAACAGCATCGAATGAGATTATTGCAAACGAGTAAATTAAAAATAACCTTTTCTCATTTAACGACTCATATCATCAAATAAAGCAGAGAAAAATGTAAAAATTAGAATTATATTTGAAAGAAAAACAAAAACACGGATATTTTGCATAAATGTTACAGTTCGTTTAAAAGCAAAAACTGAAAAAAGAAAAGGATTTAAAATACTTTATTTCATACTTGTTCGAATTGTCATTCAAATCATCATTATTTCACAATAAGAAATTCAACATTTTTCAATGTAATGAGAAATAAACAAATCATAACCTTGTCAAGTTTTTCAACAGATTCATACTAACAATCATTAACGTAGTGCTGATAAACTCCATAATTCAATGTGCTACTAACTTTCATATCTAAAAATTTTCTAAATTGAAAACTATATATAAAATCTGAATTTTTAAGATAAGTATATATTTAATACAAGAAAATACATCCATGAACTTAATCAAATCTGATATTCATAAGCTTAGATTTAAACAAATCATTTAAATTCAGTATTAATCACTAGTAAAAGAACTGAGTTGATCTCGTACTTTTCTGATAACTGTGTCATTAAATTAAAGTTTGAAAGTATTCATAAAGTAAATATTCGATGCCTTGCATTGAAAAATTTTTTCAACGATAATCTAATTGAACAGTTAAAAGCATCTCATTTTCAAATACTTAACTATCGAAGTACTGGAAAGCACCTATGATGTACTAGAAACGATAGTGTTTCAACTTAGTAATAGATCTATTAAATATTGTGTAATATCTTCAATATATTAATTAGCGATATTAACAGTTGCTACATTGTTTTATCTTATATTCGTTTCATATGATTATTGCAACGTCGAAAAAGAATATCAATTAACTTTTTATTTTAAAATTTATCAATAATGGAAAAATTACTCTATAATGGTATGAAAAATTCTTCAATTTTCATTTAGTATTTTTTGAAGTTCGTATTGGTTTTTCAAAATGGATTATTTGATGAAATTATTAAGACCATAGATTGTTCTTCATCGCATATTTAGGTTTTTTTATCATCATTAAAGATTGTTTTAAACATTAATTTCGACTAATATAGTAGAATACAAATTCTTGTAAGCAAAAGTACACTTGACATAATTTATATATAAACATTTTAAGAGAAGTCTATACAGCTGCGTACAGAAGTAAGTAGAACGTGAATACGTATTCTTACACATTTATAATTGATTTCTCGGTAAACCCAGTTCCATCATCAAGATAATATTTGAATTCAATACTTGAATAATTGAGTTCAGCTGTTAGATTGGATATATGTAGACTTTTTCAAACAAATGTTTTTTCATGACAATCAACTTCGGCCAAAGAAAGTTCTATTTCGTTTTATAGACAAGTTAATGAAAGCGTGTCAAAATGCTAGTTCGAACTTATCATAACTTTGATGGACCTTCCTAAAATGCATAAGCACTTGACGAATACATAGAACTAAACCACTGATTAGCCTTAATGCAACATGTTTCTTTCTGTTTGTAAGAGAAGACTAAATTCATCTATATTCTTTAAAACTGAGCTCATCATCATTGTTGATTAGTGAGCATTTTGTACTGTAATACAACCAGTAGGCTTTTTTCGATGTCGAAAATCATTTACATCGTTTTCTCTTCGATATTTATTGTAACTAATATTGTTATTGTGTTCGCCAGATTGTTCAAATGTTCTAGTATGATTTCATAAAGACATTGTCTCCTATATTCCAGCGAAAAAAAAGCCACATAGTGACTTTTAATGATAGATGAGTTATAAAATAGTCTGCAAAGCTGGTTTCTATATTTGTTAAGGTTTTGAAGCAACTAAGAAAAGTCAACTTTGAAGAAATGTACCAATAATTGGATCTTTTAGAAATATATCAAATAAATGATTTCAAAGGATTAATGAAAGGTCATCATGACCTGAAGATCACAATAATGATAGGAATTCGAATAAACATCGGGAAAAGGCAATGCATAGTGACTTTGGTATAGAAAAAAGATTCAATTTTATTATTACAGTCAACAGTACAATGTCTTCTGTAGTGTTACTGAACTTGAATTTAAAGAATAAATACTTATTAGTCTTCCACTTGATGAGAAAAAGGAGTACTTTCGTACATCCTGCAGAACATGCAGCACAAGAGTTGAGTAGAAATACGAATTTTACGCTGGAATTACAACGGAAACACGCGGAGTACAGTAAGAGTACTGTACGAATGAGGAAGTATAATTAGAGCACGTGTACTAAGAGAGAATGTCATTATCTTGTTGGATTTAGGCCTAAGTTTTTCTAAGTTATATAACGTTACTTCCGTACTTAATGTGCTTCCACTATACTCTCATACTTCTTATGCTCCATAAAGCATGAGAAGGATGTTATTTTTAGTTTGGCTATCCATGCCTCCTTCTCACTTTTTACGTCGTGTCTAGAAGAATTTTGAGCTGTTACCGAAGAACTGACTGTCAAGTACTCGAAAACACCTTCTCATATTCACTTCCTGCCGATTGGACTGCCTGTGATTATTTGCCAAACTTTTAGCCAATTCCATTTCAAAAAACTATCGAGATCTCTGATTTCAAAATAGAACCCAAAGAGTTTGCTTTGAATAGATGACGTGATAATCTTGTAGTGGAGACTTCTCGACTTCAATGTGTCGATATTCACTATATTTTCGAAATTTTTTCATAGAAAGTCTAAATGCTTCAATCTTAAAGTGATTAAAACGATCGATCATTTTATTCTTTAATACAAGAAAAGGTACAATACTTAAGGGGAGAACAGAACAAGTAGCATACAAAAACAAGAAATATTATTATAAAAATAACCACAATAACTAGTAGAAAATATTTATGTTCTTGATAAGTTCTATTGTAGTAAAATCAATTCAAATAGCAACATGATAGTGAAAACGAAGTGTTGCTATCGTGATTAGACCGATACCATTTGGTTATGTTTGAGAGCATCTAAGGCTTCTATCGAACGTATGCGAGTGAATAAATTTTGTTTCGTCATTCGAACATTGTTTGTCTTTCGTGATTCGATCGCTGATTCTCGTTCGTCTTTGGTTTTCAATTTTTCAAAACTTTCGAGCCATTGGCGTTCATCTTTGGTTAAATATTGACGGCAAATAAGAACAGTAGCATAAAGTTTTTCCATTTCTTCAGTAAATGTATCAATTAAAGACAGCTGTCTATAAGTATGCAGAGTATTATGCAAATATTGAAAATTAGTTCCATTGATACCATAAGCTCGACTCATAATCTCTGCTTGTTGTTTGATTGAAAATGTAATCGGTGAATAGAATTGACTACTACTATTAGCAACACAAGTCAATGCCCATTCAATAGTTTTTCCATCCGACATTATCACAGGAAGAAAATCATATGTATATATATCCATTTTAGTACCATCAACACTAATCGGAGTTTCACGTTTGATAAAAGCTTCAATAAATGGAATCAGTTGATTAGCACCAGCTATCAAGAGATAACCTTTAACGAAACCTTGGTCACATGGTTTTAAACCCATTGTTAGACCTTTAAAATCCTTTGTTCCTCGATAGATAAAATCTTGACAAATAAATCCTTTGATATAACCGCCCAAAAGACAGTCAGGAATAATCTGTTCTACATGTTCACAAGGATTCCAAATCAAAGATGCATAAGCAAATATAGCAATTGTTCCTTTTGCTTTTACATATTCAACTATGTTTGCACGTTTCGTTGAATCATTATCTAATCCAGTCAAGAGTTTCAATACTTCATCTAAGGCACGTGATTGTTTCATTACACTTCATAAAACGCAATACGTGAATGTTTATCACAGTGATAATGAGCTGTTTTGTGTATGTGGCTTTGACCTTTTATAGAAGAAAATCGCTTCATTAGCTCGCTCTTCTTAAATAGGTAAAAAAAACATCACTATCAATGCTGTAAACAACATTCGTCATGAATGATGATTAAGAAACAGCGCTACCCACAAAGAAAATTTTCAAAAATAAATTATTTTTTCTGCATCACTGCTCAACTTTTTTCTATCACCATGTGAATGATATCGTGTGGTGATTTGAGTTAAGACGAACACGATAATTGACATTAGATAATGACATAAGAATGCAACATATTTTCAAAACGAAATAGAATCAGCTATTATAATCTGTTGGATTTCAGTTCTCTCCTCTTCATTCTGGATCTTTTTTTAGTCTAATTTTATTATATGTATTATTTCGTTCTTGATACTGTCATGTAGCGACAAACTGCTCATTATCCTACGCATGCTGATTTTTGGCAAAAACAACAAGTGTATGTGTTAGTTTGCGAACACGTAAATCGATTTAACTGGTAAAAAAAAATAAACTTTGCATTTATTATTTTCCAAAAAGTTAATATATAATCAACGATTTATAAATAATCCAAACACCATGGAAGAGAAACATGAGCTAAATTGAAAAAATATCAGAGCAATACCAAAACAAGAAAGACTTTGAAAAGCATATGAAAGTGAATACATATATAGTATGTGGGTGTTTGACATCTGGACAATTTTGTAGAAGCGAGGAAAGAAAGAAGAAAAATACCTATAAATGAATAATCGTGCATAACTTTGTGTTTTTTTTTTCATGTTTTTTTGTCATTCAACTGCTTGATGCGGATATTAAAAGTTATTTCTTAGTTGCTCTCTAGTGAAGCAGGCTACCTGTAGCCCTGAAACATTGGTTGATTCATGCTCTCTGATACGTCTTTTTTTGCCGTGCCCGATATAACATATTGACGTACTGTTATATATTGTATTGACTCTTACTGTCACAGTAACTTACTTGTATTCAGTATAGAGAATTACTTTGATACACTTAGATACTATGTGTTGTAGCAGAAAACAGATCGAATGCACAGTTGAACCCCCAGTAAACAACTTTTCGATCACGAAGTTATTTAAAATTGATGATGATTTGCTTCAAAATATTGTTGAATAATTGAATTTGAATATTTAACGAAGACAATTTCATGATAAAGAAGAAATTAAGATCGAGGATATTACGAGAAAAACAAAATCTTCTAGAATATATCAATCTTGTTAAATGAACAGTAAAGAGTTCTACTTCAGTAATTCTTGTTTTTCAATCGGCATTTGATGTCATAGAATATTTTTCTCTTGAACGATAATGAAGTTTTTTCTCCTTTAACATTTCATTCTCGAGATCAAGGCTATCAGAATGTTAACATTAAGCACATTATACACTAGAAAATGAAGTGATAAAAATAAAGACCATGCTTAATTTGCTTATCAGAATGATATCTTTTTTATTGATTTTTCTTTAATTCAAAATGATAGTAGTGTTTATCAACAAAAAACACAATCGATAAGTTACATTTGCAAATTGGAAGCTATTTTTAATAAGATTGATTCAAAATGTGAACATACACTTTACAGCAACATTGTGTTTATGAGAAACATTATCGATTGTATAAATCTTTTGTCAAAACGTTTTGAAGAATTTAGTGCATATATATCCAGTTTATAAATGAATGCAAAATCTTGATTTATTTCGAAGACATATAAGTACATGTCCAATCACAAGTCCAGTGCCTTCACCTGTTGATCTGCCTGCATCAGCCAAAATAAGTTTTTGTCGATTGTTCAATACTGGATCATAGCCATTAAACTCACTGAAAATGATTATCATGTGAATGGTACACCGACAGTTGAGCCCTCGACAGTTGAGCCCCGACAGTT